GGGGCCCCAGGGCTACCCACAGCACCAGCCGATGCACCCCCAACATGTTCAACATCCTGGACCCCCGCAACATCCTTCTCCCCACATGCAACAGCATCCACAACAACCGGGGTTTGCGCCGCCTTATACTAATGGTGCACCGATGCCCCGGGCCATCACTCCACAAGTCCCACCCCAGACGCCGCACCATTATGGCCCAACCCCGACCCCGACACCGCCGCCACAGCAGCAGCACCAACAGCACCAACAGCACCAACAGCACCAGCAGATGCAACCACGGGGACCTTATCCCCCCGGGCAGGGTATGCCGCCTCAAAACATGCAACCGAACCCGAACATGCAGCGTCAGTATGGAGCCGGATCTCCTCCCATGATGCCGGCGCAGAATAACATGAACCGGACGCCCAGCCTAACTGGCTACGCGACTGTGATGCCCGAGGTACAACAGCGTCAGGTCATGGAGCAGGCGAGGGCGAGGGCAGATGCGGAACAGCGTGCTAGTGGCCACATGGGCAAGGTTGCCCAAGGTGAGGTTGTCGGCCTTGCAGGTATCGGCCTGGGTGGTAACGTTGACGTCCACAAGATTGCTGCTGCTAAGGCCATGCAGATGGGCGGTCCCGGTGGTGGTCCTCAGGGGCAGCCCGGCCAGGGGACTAACATGTCGCCTAGCCCGAAGCTTCCCATGCACGGCGGCCCGAGCGTGGGCCCGATGAACGGTGTCACCCCTGTTCCTATCCCTGTTCCTTCACCCAGCCCGGCTGCTCAGCAACAGCAACCTGGTGGTATGCCATCGCCTGCTGTTGTTCAGCAGCAACAACAGTCTCAGGTACAGACACAGCAGCAGCATATGATGCCGCAGCCACAGTCGCAACAGCCGCAGCCGCCGCAAAGTGGTGGACCTAGTCCGGCTCCTCCCGCGCAACAAGGTTTTAGACCCCCTTCTGCATAGGAGCAGATGAGGATAAATCATATGAGAGTGAGGAACGGGTGGTGAGACTGTTGTCGGTCAGTAGGTGTAAGAGGTGAGAAAGTGGATGAAGAGTGTAAGAAAGTGGAAAGAAGGAGACATAAAAGGAAGAAAGAGGATCGATGAGGAGTGAAGAAGAAAGGAAGGGAGGCAAAATTCTATGGTAGATCACTAAAGCTTGTTTAGTACATTGATTACTTACTCACTACGCACATAAAAAGCGGCTACCAATATTTTCGCGCTGGTTTGTTTTATTTGCTGTCCTAGCCTTACCTTTAGGCGATTTTGGTGAAAAGGAGTCGATCATGTGGAGAGGTAGGATGGATGGCTGAAGCGGAGAGTGGCATGGAGAAAATGGATAGGGCAGGAAGAGATGGTTAGCAGGAGGGCCAGGGGGGGGCAGGAAGGCGCTTATAAAGGGAAACAAAACAAAAATACAAGCAGCTTAATGAGAATGAAGTATTGGGATAGATGTTTTGGCTAAGTTGCTAGATGTTACAACATGGCGCGTGGAGAGAAAAGGGGTTTGGGTCATTGCGTGTACCATTATCTTTCTCCTTTTTTTGTCTCTCGCTTCTTTAGAGTTGGGTTATACCCCTCTTTCTCATTCGCTTTTATCTATCGGGGAGCTTCTTTCTTGTCTTGTCTTACTTAGTTCGAGATGAATCGTCATACTTATATAGACTTTCAAGTATGGTTTGCTCACTCGCAACTTGCTCTTACTATCGTGTTCTTGGTGAAAGAAAATATACTTGGTTGTGTTCATAGACCAACGATGTGCCTTTTATTGATTTGAAATTCAGTTTTGGTGTTGTTTAGCCATCTGGTTTATCTGGGTTATGAAATGTGTCTATGTGTCTATGTAGCAGCACATGAGTTGGGTATCATTCGGTGACCATCTAATCTATCTTTCCCTCTTCTATTCCTAGTCTCATCTCTTCTTTTTCTTTTCTTCACAGTTCCCATCCATCCTTTCCCACCTGCCAGCCATCCTGAGCTATATCAAGCATATCTCACTTTGGCAAACCCTCAGCCTTTCCACCGCCATCCCCCCTCAAAGCCTCAAGTGAATCCCCAATCCTTTTCAGTTCCCTCAAAACATCATCGTCATGCGTCTCAAACCTCTCCATCCACAGCCTCCGCAGCTCAAACACCACCTCAATAGCAATCAATATAATAATAATCCACTCCAACCGCGTGCTGTGTTTCTCACTGCTCATCTTTTCCGAAATATCCAACACCTCCTGCGCCACCTTGACCACCTCCTGCGCATACGTCATCTTGTCATTCAGCGTCTTGATACGCACCCCGACATCCAACGCCTTGCCGATCTTGCTGTAGTACGTTTCCAGCTTCTCTTCGCTGTCCCAGAAGATATCTGGCAACGCGTCGGTTAGGTCGTTGTAGTGGTTCAGTTGACTGCGGAGGTTGAGGAGTTCGCCGGTTTTTCGGAGGATGAGTTCCCGTGACAGCGGGGCTTTGAGACCTTGGGATAGCCGGTCGGGAATGTGTCTCGTGCTTTCGAGGTAGCGCGTCAAAGAGGATTCCAACACCGCAAGCTTGGTGGAGCGCGCAAGACCGGACGAAAAAGCAATTTTCGCCAAAGTGGTGTCTAGCTTGTCACCGGCTGAGACCTCACGCAGCGTGCCGAGGACGACCACGTCACCTTGGACTTTACTCTGTTCTTCAGAAGGATCGGTGGCGAATTCGAGGTCTTCTTCTTCCTTGTTTTCGACAAAGGGGATTTCGGCTGCGGGAATGAGTAAACGTGTGGCAAGCGTGTCGACGACGTCGGCTGGCAAAGCCCAGGTTACTATGGTGCCAGAGGGAAAGACGAAGATGTCCCCGTGGTTGGTCAGCCCCCGCGCGTGGACGACTTCGTGGATGTCGAAGCCGGTGTTGTCGGGGTCGAGGGAGAAGTTGTGCGATGTCAAAAGGGAGGCGACGGCGTCCATGTCGAAGGACTCGGCGACGCAGACGGCTGAGATGGTCGAGCGCCCGTCGGGCTCGATGGTGTGTTCGGGTATTGGGACGGGAGCCGATTTGGCGGGACTGCCTTTTTGGGCGACGATGGCGACGCGGTGAAGGGAGTTTTTGAGGGGGAGCTTGCGCTTTTGGACGGCGGAGGATTTGTTTTGTTGTTGGGATGTCGTGGCATCGTCGGCGGCAGAAGAGGGCTGCTTCTGGGTGGTGGTAGAGGGAGAGGTGGAGGGTTGTCGCGAAGGCTCGTTATTGTTGCCATTTTGTGCTAGGAGACCGTTGGAGGTGAACAAGGTACACCGTCGTGGCTGGCTATGCGATGCGATGAGGTGGAATGGTGGTTGTGGTCGAGTGGAAGTGCTGGTGGCAGTGAGGCCAGCCAGTGCCGCGACGCCGGAGATGCTCCGGACAGCGGCCGGTCGTTGAATCGGTACCATAGATCTCATGACGACGGGGCCATTGAGTGTGTGTCGTGACTAGACTGGGGTAGTTGTCGTTGACTGATCGGTCGGCGACGGGAGGGAAAAGGCTGGACTCGGTGCACGACCAAGTGGGAGAAAGGAAGTGTCGATAGCGTCACGGTTTGATGTTGATGTTTACTCCGACATGTGGTTACTAGGGGTTCGGCTTCTCGGATGAAAACTAATTTTTAGAGGGGCTTATTCTCAGACGCTACGTCACTTAAGTACGGTGGCCCAAGTGTATCTTAGGCTCGTTATAAAATTGGTTTGAGCTTTCAGCTGCAGCCAGGTGCAGGGTAAATTGTTTGCACTCCACGCACAGCCGTGCGCACACTCCTCTCCGCTAAAATTAAAGATAATTTTATCTCGTTGTCACTCTGTTAGCCTATGAATCCTGCTAATTTTAGGAATGTTGAGGTTTTTGTAAGGGTTCTACGAGGTATACACACAGGTAGGCCTTGGTGAAAGTGATAATATTTGACAAAGAGGAAAAGGGAAGTCTGTGCCAGTATGGCATGGAGCTTACAGCTAAATACACAAGAGAGGTGCGTATATCGAAGGTGCTAGAAACGCCAAGATCGAAAATGTGGTTCGTGCGGCATACCCTAGGAGTGCACCCAGTCAGAGGGCAGGCCTGGCTTTCATAGAGTCCAAGCCAGGCAAACACCCCTAGGCGCCAGCCCCATGACATTTAGGAGCAATGAAGCTCTGAAAATAATAAAGTTTTAATAGCAATTAAGCTTTGAGAGCAATGTGGCCTTAATAGTTGTCATGGAGCTAGTGCCCGCAGCTGAAATGCTTAGAAATCTTGCCAGGCAAGTGCTCTACTCTCACGGCAGGCAACATTAGTCTATGCGCGCGCACGTTTCTTCTTTAGAACAGCCGGCCAGACTGCTTAGAGGGTGTTCTTTTCTCTTCTTCTCTCTTCGTAGAACCTTATTAATTCTTTTGGCCAGCATCTATATCAACTATGCTGTACTCCTTACAAGAGTTATGAGACTTTGAGAGCAATAAGACTTTAAGAGTAAGGAAGCCTTAAAAGCAATCAAGCTTTAAGAGTAATAAAGCTTTAAGAGCAATAAAGCTTTAAAAGTAATAAAGCTTTAAGAGTAATAAAAATTATTAGATTCGAAAAACACTAAGAGAAGTAGAATTATATAAATAATAAGATGGATGTTAACGTGCCCAGGCGCTTATCACCTCCAGCTGACAATAACCTTTTTACATCGAAACTTTGGATAACGGGCCTAAGACACACTTGGGCCACCGTACTCAAGCGATAAGGCGCTTATCGGAGCAGCGGCAGGGGTACTGCATCCACTGGAGCTTTCCCCAGACCCTCCAATCCGTACTGTCATGTCCCCATGCGACAGTGACAGGTACCACAACATTCCCAAGTCAACACCACGCGGAGCTCAAAGATCACCGGAAAAGAGAGTATCGACATACAGCCGCGCTATCCCAAACATCCACTATGGAGCCAGACATCCGAGTCGAGGACTACCTCGACGACAAGCTCCAGTCGACGACCGACTTCGACCATTTAGACACGTTGCTCAACAGCGTCGAACACCAGCGCAGCCAGCTCCAGTCGCAACTCGACGACGCTACCAAAGAGCTCGAAGAGGCCCGCCGCTCCTCCAGCGAACGCCAAGCCGCCCTTGCCGCCCAGATCGACGAGTTCCAAAAGCTACAGCAAAGCATCGACGTCCGCCTCAAGATCGTGGCCGCCTCCGACGCCCCTGATGAGGCCATTCGCCGTTTGGAGCAGCCTATGAAGCAGCTTCACAAAGTCGACCTCGCCCATCGGTACCTCCTCTTGCTCCAGCATGTCCAGGAACTGCGCAATACCGCCCGCGCCCATCTACCACAGAGCCCCAAGGCCGCCCTCGAGCCGTACACCGAATTGAAGCAGCTGTCTTTGCGCCTGCGGGAACTCCAGGGTGCTGCTGATGGCGCTGCCGTCCATCTCGTCGCTCATGTCGAGTCTGTCACCGAGGCACTTTGGGACGAAATGAAGAAGACAATGTGGAGCGAGCTAGAGGCTGTTTTGAAGAAGCGCGGGTGGCCCAACGTCGATCCCGAGTCTGAAGTAGACGACGAATGGATTCAATGCTTCGAGAAGCTGGTTGACCTCCAGGTTCCCGAAGTCCTATACTCGCCCTCACTGGTGACCCTTCTTCCCATGGACGTTATGGCCCAGATCTTCGTCAAGGAGTTCCGGTTCCACTTCCTGAGCGATAAGCCGACTAGCAACCCCCAGGGCATCAACGCACACTGCTTCCCTTGGTTCCTATCCCTACTCGATAAGTGGGAGGTCTTCTTCAGAGAGAACTTTGCTCCTGTCTTGGCGACCAAGTTCAGCCAGACGGAGGTCTCGGACAAGATGGTTTACATGGATCCCGGGTGCGCATTCATCGCCTCGATGCTACCGGTCATGCGCGAGAAGGTCAATGTGACCATGGCAGAGGCCGTCAAGGATCCTGCGTTCCTGAGCAGTCTCCTCTGTCAGCTGATGACCTTTGATGATAACATCCGATCTGGGTACAGCTACGACGGAGGCGATCCCGAAAACGGGTGGGAAGGATTGACGGGCGAGGTCCTGAATACGCACTTTAGGACATGGCTCGAGGCAGAGAAGAAGTTCGCTCTGGAAAGGTTCAACGGGATCATGAACTCTAGTGACGCTCGGAAGATTGACTACGACTTTGCGGTCGCTGGGAAAACAAAGCCTACGTTCGCAGCTGTCCGTGTGGCTGATTTGCTGCGGTCAGTAACAACGCAGTATGAGAGGCTCAGACGCTTTTCCCATAAGCTTCGCTTCCTGATCGATATCCAGCTGGCTATTCTGGACGACTACCATGATCATCTCAAGGGCACGCTTGAAGCTTACCAAACCATGAACTCCACAGTTGGCAGAGCCTTTGTTGGTGTTACCAAAGAGCAGCTGGCGGCTCTGGAGGGTACAGGAGCTCTCGAGACATTGTGCAAGGTGTATGGAAGCGCTGATCACATCATCAACGCGCTACATGACTGGAGCAACGAAGAGGTAAGATATGCTTATTTGAATGTTGTAAAGCAATTATGCTAACACCCGGCAGTTCTTTGTGACGCTATGGGAGCAGCTCCAGGCCCGAGCCAAGACAAACGAAGACCAGACCAACCTCGCTGGTGGCATGAGCTACGATCATGTCAAGGACCGCATTTCTTCAGTCGTCGGTACCGAGGACGACAGCGGTGTTCTCTTCGACGAGACCATCGCAGCATATACCATGAGGAGAAAGAGAGCCCAGGAGTTCCTCACCCAGACCCTCATCCAAAACCAGAGGAAGGCATTCGCCGCCTATCTGAAGCGGCCTCAGTGGAGTACTATCTCGGATGAGCCTACCTCTGGCGAAGCCTATTACCAACTGGCTCCCACTGCCGAGCTGGATGAGCCTCTCACGGTAAGCATTCACCCGACCCAAGGCTCTATGATAAGTACCTGCTAACAACAACCCCAGGTCCTCAAACGCGACCTCGACTTCCTCTCCCACGCCCTCGGCACTGCCGTCTTCAGGCGCATCTGGCGCGAAGCCTTCGACGAGCTCAACAACATGCTGTGGTCCGACGTGCTCATGGCCAACAAATTTGCCGCATTCGGCGCCGCTCAGTTCAGGCGTGACGTTGATGCCATTTCCTCCGTCGTCGAGCGGTACATCCCTGACGGGTCCAGCGCTCTCGGCAGCATCAAGGAGGCGCTTCGCCTGTTGAACTTGCCTGTTGAGGCGCCGGAGGAGGATGGGAATACCTTGACGCTTATGAAGGCGGTGGATAGGGTCTTTACTGATAATACGGAAGCCAAAAAGGTGCTGGAGGAGTTGGATGTTGAGAGTCTGACCCCGCCGCATGCTAGACAGATTTTGCAGAGGAGGGTGGAGAATGCTGAGTGATGGGGGAAGGATGGGGGAGTATGATGATACCCAGATACAGACTGTGTAAGCATTCTAATGCTACTTTGGAATAAACTACATCTTTGATATCTACAGCTTCGATTGTTGTCAACGCTATTGATCATGAAGAGCATATCATGAATACACCTCTGTATAGGAATATCTCGGCTAAATCCGTACGGCGATGAACAGCTGGAAGTTTACCGGGTCGGGTCTGGACCCGTATCCCAAGCACGCCATCGACCGGGGCGCTTGCATTCGGCCCCACTCCGCCTTCGGGGCCCCGTACGTGTACACAGTATGCGGAGTAGCCTTGGTAAGCGGATGCTCCATTGTTAGGGCAGAAGCTTAACACGGGGTACGTGCATTCGCCGGTGGCCGAATATCGGCCCGTACATCTTTAATAGGAGCCGTGGATGTCTTTATTCATTGTGATTGTGTACGTGCAACAGCACCATTCATTTATTCTTCTCTTGAGTCTGTCTCATCTCTCATCTCATTCTCAAGAAGAACTCACAGACGTGTGAACTGAATTCTCGGGACAACACCACCATTTCAAGAATCAAACTCCAGGTCCCCTTATCTTCATTGATAAGATAAACAAACCACACTAAGACGCCCGTTTAGTCATAGACCGAGGTCTTCACTCTTTCCTTCTTTTCAACCACTCTTTCATTTCTCATCTCTAACTCGCCTCATCTTTCACTCAGTTGGAGAGAGACTGTGGGCAGATATTTGGCAACGACGAAAACAAAACCAGCCTTCATAGTTTCTGGCTACAGAAAATAAGAACCCAAAACAGAAACAATGGCTGACTCCGCTGCCGATATCGAGTCCCACGATGGCAACAGCGCCGGTCTCCAAACGGCCAAGGATCTCTTCTCTGGCGCTGTGGGCGGCATTGCCCAGGTGTTGATTGGTGAGTACACTTTTTTTCACGTCTAAATACCGAGAGGTGAAAACTAACCAACATCGATCCCACAGGCCAACCCTTCGACATAGTCAAAGTCCGTCTCCAAACCTCCACCCAATACTCCTCCGCCCTCACCGCCGCAGCCTCCATCTACAAGAACGAAGGCGCCCTGGCCTTCTACAAAGGCACCCTTACTCCCCTCCTGGGCATCGGCGCCTGCGTGTCCATACAATTCGGCGCCTTCCACTCCGCGCGCCGCTTCCTCGAACAACGCCGTTCCGCCTCAGACAAGTCCTTCATCCCCGGCGTCTCGAACCTGTCCTACGGCGAGTACTACGCCGCGGGCGCCTTTGCTGGCGTCGCCAACTCTGTTATTTCCGGTCCCATCGAGCACGTGCGTATCCGCCTGCAAGCCCAACCGCACGGTGCCGGCCGGTTGTACTCAGGACCACTAGACTGCGTGCGCAAGCTCTCGAAACAAGCCGGCGGCGTCTTGCCCGGTTTGTACCGTGGGGAGGTCGTCACCGTGCTGCGCGAGGCGCAAGCGTACGGCTTGTGGTTTTTGGCATTTGAGTGGCTGATGAACGCGGACGCGGCGCGCAACAAGATCGATCGCAAGGAGATCCCCTCGTACAAAATTGCGCTGTATGGTGGACTGGCGGGCGAGGCGCTTTGGTTGGGCAGCTATCCGTTGGATGTGGTCAAGAGCAAGATGCAGACTGATGGGTTTGGAGCTGGACAGCAAAAGTATAAGAACATGAGGGATTGCTTTGCGCAGACGTTCAGGCAGGAAGGCATGAGAGGGTTCTGGAAGGGTATTGGGCCGACGCTTTTGAGGGCTATGCCGGTGAGCGCGGGAACGTTTGCGGTGGTGGAGATGACTATGAGGGCTATTAATTAGGGGCGGGTTTTCTGAGGTGGTTAGAGGTAACTTGAGGGAAGAGAAAGGAGGGTAGGGTAGGCTCACTCCACTTGAGCCTTATGTACGGGGATTTGTGTAAAGGTCATGACAACAAAGGAAAGGAAAACGGGCTCCAATGAACGAATGAAGGGATGGATAGATGAACAGATGGGAAACGGGCTCTTCAACGAGCAGCATGGTGCAGTTACAGAACACTTCCGGGGATATTTGGGTTTCAAAAAGCACATGGACCGCATTTAAGGGCTAGAGTTGCTTGGTTTCAGTACAGAGACAATGGCAAATAATCAAAAAGATCTTTCTTGACTGGTAATTCTCGTATTAGTATTTTCCCGCAAAGAGCCTACAAGCACATCCACATGTCCAATAATCCCCTGATCCAGACAACCACTACTTCACCCATTACGCCTACATCCTCCGACTACTCCCCCTACTAGCCCTACTGCCACCAGTATAAACACTTCCCTTCTCCTTGCCAGTCCTAGAACCGCTAGTCTTCACACCACTACCACCAGCAGCCCCAGTCAACTGCGCTTGCGCATCCAGTTGAATCGCCTCCTTCAACTTCTCTACCACCTCCGGCTGTGTATTAAACGCCGTCTCTAGCATCTCATCCAGCTCCCTTTCCAACTGACTCAAGGTCCTCCCGCCAGCCTTGGACGCCTTGACCTTGGCCTCATTGAAGATCGCCGCCCAGCGCCTAGTGAACGCGTAAATGCTTTGACGGAGTAACTCATCCAGCTGTTCTCCTGCGTCTTGTGATTCCGCCGCACCTGGTGCCGTCGTGCCCGATCCAGAGCCGGAGCCAGTAATACTACCAGCCGCGCGCGAAAGGAGAAACGAGCCGGGGATGTAAGAGCTAAATGTCGACACGGAGCTGGAGACCAGTCCAAAAAGGTTACCGGCGGTCGGGAGACTCTCCCAGATTTGGCCGAGGTGTTGGATGCTGCTCCCAAAAGCGCCTGTCGCTCCTTGGCCGCCGGTACCGTTGCGCACGTCGCCGATCTCGAGGGTGAGGAGCTCGTTCTTGAGGATGAGCAGGTTCTTGATCATGAAGAGGTCCGGGTCCGTACCGCCGTTTTTTGTGGACGAGGCTTTGATGCGCACTTCGGCGCGCTGGAGGGCGGCGATGGTTTCGCGGACGAGTTTGAAGATTACGGGGCTGTTGCGTTGCTGGAATGGGGGGAAGGTTCCGTGTTAGCTGGGTAATTTAGGGGCTGAAAGAAGGAAAGGGAGGTTACTTACACAGCGCTCCTTGGGCATGGACTGGTCGAACAAAACAAGCAGCTCGATTGCTCGCTTGACCACCGGGAAAGCCGCTGATGCTCCGCCGCCCTCACCGGCACTGGGAGCTCCCAGTTTGATGGCCTCTGGCGGAACGACGGCTTTGGTGATGGACTTCGCGATTTCTGCATCAAAAAAACCATCGGTAAATGTCCAAAGATGCTCGGCCAATAGCCTGGACGTAAGTTCCCTGCAGTGCGCAACAAACGGAGTCTCATCCTCGTCATAGTCCACGAGCAGGTATTCGTTCGTGACCCACCCGACAAGATTGCAAATGGCTTGCAAGTCACATGTCTGCAGCTTCGACTGGAGGTTGGTGGCGATGGGCGCGATGTTTGTGCCCGTTACAAGTGACCGCTGATGCGAGTTGAGGGCGGTGAACGCCGACTTGGGGTTGGGTGAATATGGTGCTTCTATGGAGAAGACTTTGCGGAAAAGCGTAGCCTCGCTGAACGAGCGTTCAAAGCACTGCTTGACATAATTCCTTGCCGCCGTGTCTATCGAGGATTCCTTGCACTCGAGATGGAATGTCGCAAGATCATGCTGGGCCAGAGGCTTGAGGTCGCGATCTCTCACCGCGAAATAGGCATGGAAGAGGTTGTTGGCTGTGTTGGCAAAGATATCCACGTTTGGCCCTGTCCTGGGTTGGCCATTTTGGTCATATGCCCCCAATATCACCCGCTGAATGTTGGGAATGAGCGAATAGGAGTTCATTAGGACCTCCTCGAACCGGCCATAAGCCAATGCATGTCGCGCGGATTCCGACTGGGTGTTGGTGATTTGACGAGCGAGTTCCCCAGACACTTGATCTAGCCGGTTGTTGAATCCCACCTCTAGAAGATGTAGGGCCTTGGTTAGTAGCGCCTGGTATCTAGCCTGGTAGGTATCAGCGTCCCGATATTGGGGATGCTGGATCATAAACTCAATGCAAGAGTCCAGGTTGGCCAGGATATCGCCAAACGCGTCGTCATCCACAAGGCGGCCTGCGCCCAGGGCATTGAGGCGTCGACTGACGGTGTCGAGATAGGCGTAGTAATGCAGATCGGTTCCAACTTCATCGGCAAGCGTCTGGAGACGTTTTTGTTCCTCCAGCAGGTCGTCGCACTGTGCCTTGAAGGGTGTCGTCTGCTCCTCAACGGCTCGGAAGGACTGACACAAAGTCTCGAGGGTCTTGAGTGCGCTGTTGGCGTCGTCGATCAGGGTTCCCAGATGTCGTTCCGTCAAGGTGAGTTGGTCATGGTACAGCAGGTATTCTTGCTGGCTAGCCTGTAGCAACTCTTGGGCCAGAGTATCGTCGTATATGCCTTCCTCCACAGGTAGTTTCGATGCCGCACTCACGGGGATCATCAAGGCATCCCAGAGGTTGTGATTGTTGCGTCGCCCCTTGGCCTTCTTGTTCATCTGCTTGGGTCCTCCATGGCCGCCAGCGAGATGCGCAGTCGCGATGTCGTAGAAGTCCGAATAAGATTTCGCCCGGCGAAGAACAGTAGCCTCGGGTGGCGCGTTCACGTCTTCCTGGTCCTCAAAAAGTGCTGGGAGTGGTTCTTCGGGGATGTTGTTGTCGGTCGTCTCCTATCAAGTGGTGATGGTTGGGTTAGCGACTGTTGGCTGCTAGTGGGGAAGTGTTGAATGGAAAGACAAACCTCTGGTTGCTGCAGCAGAGAGTTGGCTCGACGGTGGCGCGTCTTTACAGCCGATGGTCTGCTCTGCGGCACCTCTTGAAAGCTATACCAGTGCTCGTCGTACATTTTGGGAAATTGGATTATTGGACAAGATTGCCCGGTGGTGATAGCTTCAATCCATCATGTCCCAGTGCGTGTTGATTCCCCCCTGTTCCCCTATCCCGTCATTCCAGGTACGTACCTCCCACTGCAACAGTGAGCTGTCCACTTTTTGGGACAGCGATGGGGATATGGACAGCGAGCCGCCATGTTTATTTGCACTGTACCTTAGCCGAGAAGCGCACAGACCTCATCCCCCAAGCTTGAAGAAGCTTCCCCACGGAAGCTAGAACTAATTGTTAGAGCTGGGAGCAGGTGTCGATCTAAGCTGAAGCTTCCATTACCTGGACCTCCTCACGCACCTCAGAGCTCAAGGGTTCAAAGCGAAAACATCCGGGGTCGACTCGCTTTAATTCCAGTTGAGTGACCTCACCATTTCATCTTACGTCTCGTCGTGAAAGTTTGCACTTTGGTGTTGAGCCTTTCAAATCCTATCTGAACCAACAAGGTTGTCAAAGCATGAGAAGTTGATTAGTCCTGATAGAGAAAAAACCGCCCTAACGACGGACCCCTGGCACTGTCAAGCACCGTATAAATTCCAAGCGGATGCCGCCATCATCACCTTCTTAAGCTAACTTGAACCATTCAAGTATTAACCACCATGGCGTCCCCTATGATGCTTGCCAGGACCGCCCTCCGGCCCCAGGCCCGGCGGATGACAAAGTCGACACAATGGGTACGGAGTGTTAGCAAAAGATTCAGGCCCGAGCCGGAGCCTCAACCGGAAAAGTCGAATCTCGGCCTCCGCATCCTTACCGGTGCCCTGGTGGGCGGTGTTGCTGCCGGTGCCGCTCTGGTTGCGTACCCTATGCTCACGGCCGACACCAAGGATGAGAAGAAGCCCGTCGGACCGGAGAAGGCTGAGCTCATCTTTGAGAAGCCCCGGAAACGGTCCGTCTCCGCCGAGGAGAGCCGCAACGAGTTGAGCCCGCAGCACGTCCAGGTCAAGCAGAGCTGGGAACATCCCGGTGTTTACGCTTGGGGTTCTAATGCCGGTAAGGTCGTTGCTCCGGATTCCAACGAATCCGTCATCAAGACCCCAAGGCGCATCTCCTACTTTGATGACCAGATTCTGCGCGATCTCAAGCTGGACCGCAACTTTGGCGCCGCCATTGATGAGAAAGGAAACCTGGTCCAATGGGGTGTCGCCTTCGACAAGGAAAACTATACCCCGACTGTCACCTTGAAGGGCAAGGATCTGGTCAAGCTGGCCATGTCTCGCGACCGTATCATTGGTCTTGCCTCCAATGGAGAAGTCTACTCTGTCCCGGTGGCCGCCGCTGATCAAAGAGCGGGCCAGAAAGACGTTACCGCCTCATCTTCCTCCCTCTGGTCCAGCCAGTCTCCCGTGAACTTCCGCTCCCTCAAGCCCAAGAGCCTGGGATGGAATGAAAAGATTGTCGATGTCCGCAGCGGCCTGGAGCACTGCCTGATGCTCACCTCCAAGGGCCGCGTCTTCTCTGCCGCCTCCAGCTCCGAGGACTTCCCCTCAAAGGGCCAACTTGGCATCCCCGGCCTGACATGGACCAACCGCCCAGCGGGCCCTTACGACCAGCCTCACGAGGTGACCGGCCTAAGCGGCTCCAAGATCAAGGAGATCGCTACCGGCGACTTCCACTCGCTTGCCCTCGACACCGAGGGCCACATCTTCACCTTTGGCGACAACTCCTTCGGCCAGCTCGGCTTCCAGAACGACACCGAACACCCTTACGTTGACTCGCCCCGCCCCTTGCCCATCAACCAGCTCTACCACGGGACCAGCCTGCGGCCCAAGGTGACCTCCATCGCCGCTGGCGGCCTCAACAGCTTCTTCACTGTCGACGCGCGCGCCTTCCAGGGAGAAATCGGCAGCAAGTCGGCGCAGCTCGTGCCCGCCAAGGACCTCGGCCGCATCAACGTCGAGACCTGGGCCTGCGGCGAGGGCATCCACGGCAGTCTCGGAACCGGCAAGTGGACGCACGTGTCCGTTGCCCCCACGAAAGTCAAGGCTTTGTCCAACCTCTTCGAGTTCGACGAGGCCACCAACAGCGTCGTGCCCATCCGTCTGTCCCGTCTGAGCGTCGGCAGCACCCACGCCTGCGCAGTCATGGATAACGTCACCCGCGTCAGCACCGCTTCTTCGAAGAAGGAGACGGACACTAACTTTGGTGCTGACGTGCTGTGGTGGGGCGGAAATGAGTATTATCAGCTGGGCACGGGGAAGAGGAATAATGTCAACTTGCCTACTTATATCGCGCCGCTGGACACGCCTGCCCATGGTGGACACGGACACGAGAATAGGCTGGTGAAGAGGGAGGGAGAGACGAATCGGTTCCAGTTGACGCCGAGGAAGACAGTTAGGTTGGATGGTGGCAAGGGAAGGAGCGTTAGTGTTGAGCAGAGGGCGGAGTGTGGACGGCTGGTTAGTGCTGTTTACTCTGCTGCTTGATCAAGGCAGGTATGTAAAAGGGGGAAAGGGGTGTGGATGAGTGTATGATAGGTTAGGTTCGGGCAGTTTGGGTAGGCAGTAGATTGTTGAGAGGCTGTTGTTCATTGCGGTAAAAAAAAAGGCACATGTATATGTATATGTTATCAAAAATGGGAGGAAGTTATTGGCCTAGTATGGCAACTAAAAGGCGTTAGCTGTGTATAACTATCTATCTTTTCTCAATTGAGTGTATAACCAGTGCGATTTCCCATGGCAATTGTGGGAAGTGTGAGTAAGTGGCACATAAGTGTCCTCGAACTGCTCCTCTTTTCGCTCGCAAATTTTCGAGCTTCTGTGCAATCAATCGGTCCGTAACCTAACCATCACGAAGGTCTTCTTCGATGCTGGGAACTACTGTGGTACGTTTACAATAGGGGGCTGCCGGGACAGTTCGTGATAGCTCCTTTTTCCATTTGCTGTTTCATACCGCTTTCACCAACATTCGTCACCAATGATACCAACAAAGCTAAAGAAAAATTTAAACAAATACAAAAGACTCAATCGTCAGGGTCTTGATTTTTCCAATTCCAATTACCACCGACACTCATAGCTTTTCCGTCGAAAACCCAGTTCATCATCCCTAAAGTTCCCTTTGCTGCTAACTTTTCGCCAACTAGTCAGTGTTGGTACCTATTCTCACATGTTCCTTCCCAGTTCCTAATAGCCAGTCATTAACAGTTCGCTAACGCCACCATATCTGAAGGACACAGTTCAAATTTTGCACAAGACACTATAGTCTATAGCACATTTCGTTATTTCCTTTACATTCCGACTACAATGATGCTAACAGTCTGTTAAAAGGCTGTTAGGACTCGCCGGCAGCCCGCTCGCTAAGCATGTGGCTGTGTTTCCGAGGTTGTTTTGTTGCCACCCCCATGCTCGAGTTGTGGTCGCCGCCGCCAAACAGAGGACTGCCTCTGCGCAACACCAATCCCGTGATACCCTCATGTGCTTATCGCAGTAGTGTACACTATCACAATACCAGCCCCGCGCATTTCCCTTGCCCCAGTCTCGTAAAATTCACAGTCTGGATATTTCCTATTCCAACCTCCTCAAGATTAATATGGAACACGCAGCTGAGCTGAGCTGTGTCGTAGTAATTCCTAAGCTTGGTATCTAATCGGCAGACTTTCCGGAACTTTAGTGTTGTAGAATATTGGTTTCCCTCAGCGAATCCCCATCCATTCGGGGTCCGTTGCAACAATTTGTTCAGTGACGGGAAGTGTACAATAATGCAGTGTGCACCGGGTGGCTGGTGGTTCTCGTCGCCAACAACCACGGTGCGTGCACTAATCACATTTCCCATACTGTGTACACTATAGCAACACCATCAATCCTGAACACCGACGAGAGCGAGCGTGAACAAAATTATGTAATCCACTACCTGAGCAAGGCCCCGGACCATATCCCCTACCCATGAATGCGTTTCCATGCGTTTTCATGCGTCCAAACTGTAAAAATTAGGTGTGTAAAAATGAGGGCATTCCCAGTTAGTACTTCGAAGTTTGCCTCCCCCTCTCACAGTCCCATGTGATTTCGATTCGAGCGAGCCCCACGTGCGTGCGGCGTTCCAGACCGGCGGGAACCGCTTGGGGCGCATGCCGGATTATTTACTCCGTTCCGCCCCGCGTCGCGTGGTACCTGTCCAGAACTTCAGATGAAACCGCCGCCGACGATGATAACGATAAGGACAATTGGGCACAGGAAAAAGAACTAAAGTCTAGACTAAAGCAGATCCGGATTGTTTACTCCGCTCTCCTCCGCTATTACACTTGTCGGCGGCGTTTGGCGTCGACGACCAGGACGAGGACGACGGGGACAGTGAGGATATCTCCCACGGCTCCACGATCCAAGGATCGAAGATGAGATATCAATGATCACCCACGGTGCCAGTAACGGTAGCGGGGACCTTCAGCTCATGATCCTCCAAGTCTCCAAGCCCCCGTGACCCCCGTGACCTCCAACTACACGTGTAGCCTCCAGCCAGCGTACTTGTAGTGTAGATCTAGTTAGTCTCTTCCCTTCGCTTAACGCCAGTCATACTGGACGAGATGTACACGTACAGTGTACACTACCTGCTACCGGGACCCGGGACCCGGGATCTGGACCCTGCTGAACCCTGAACCCACCTGGGCTGGACCTGCAGTAGTTCGCGTGCGTTGTCAGTTGGTTATCCACTGACCTGGCAGGAGGCTCGCTGAGCCGCTTCGGTTCTATAACCGCTAGCCAACGACGTCGGACGTCTGTTGATCAAAGTTACCTTAGGTACCTCTACCACTCCGATGCGATTCGGACCATTCCCACCACCTGCCCGGCATCACGCCCACCCGCTCCTGTCGGCAATGCATGCGTGCCTTGCGAGTACTGTGTAGCGTACTGTGAAGTACCTCTTTGGTACCTACCTTACCTAACCCCCGTGCTGCGTGCGCCATTGCATGTTAGGAACACGTGAAAGTATTTGCCACCACCACGATGCTCACTTTCGCGGCTCAGCGCGGATATCAGAAAGGGAGGCGCTTACCCATGTAGCCATGCAGTGCCTAGACTAGCCCGGAGTTTAGTGTCGCTCGTGAGGGAAAAAAAAAAGTGGTGTACGAAGGAGGAATAAATAATGAAAGGGAAGCATTGCCTGGAACAGCGTTGGCTGCCATTGCCGCGTTGCCACTGCCGCCGAGCGAGCGAACGCTATGTGCCTCCTCACACCGCCAACGCCAACGCCAATGCCAACGACGCCAACGCCAACCGATCCGTTCGTCAAACACAGTGCCGTTTCGTCGTCATGGTCGTCGTGATCGTGGTCCTTCCAACGGCCGTTCGGTTGGGCCCGAACCCGAACGGAAGTCCGATGCCTTCTTTGCTTTTTTCTTTCTCCCTCCCCGTCCGTCGTCCGTCGATCCCTTTTTGCTTTCCGTTTCGCCACCTTCATCCTTCCACAGGAACCACGAGTTCGGATAGAAATCTCCGTATCCCGTCAGCAATTCCTTGTGAAGCCCGTCAGTCCCGTCCTGTACGGGTAAATCACCGTACCCACATGCTTGCTACTGAGCTACTGCATGGTTCGTATGATTGACAGGAACACAGATGCTGGCGGAGTCCCGCCTCTTTTGCCGTTGTGGTTCGTTGAAATCGTGGATGTGTTTCTTTGAGTATGGATATCTGTGGCGTCTAGCGTATCGAGCGTGTGTATTACACAGTACACGCAGGATAAGGTGGTGTAGCGTGTGTTTATTTAGCCCCGGGTCGCTGGCATAGGAGCTTGGCGAGCCCGTAAGCCCGGTTGACTAAAATGGTGTCAAAAGGCTGACGACGATACAAACATACCAGTGTACACTGGTGTATATCCCTGAACGCACGTCTGGCGTAACAACCGCTGTTTTCGGAACTCATTCCGCAGAGGATGTTTGGTTCCAGCGTATCGTTTGATCGTCAATCGCCAATGCGAGATGCCTAGAATCATCCGTTCTGTGCCTGATCGATTGGCATTCGTAACGGCTGGTCGGTAACTGCAAGGTAAGCAATAGGTAACTCCGGAGGATGAGGCAAACGAAGCTATTCGCAATTGCTTAGCGTAGGGTAGGACGTGGGGAGGGAGTGGCGAAAAAAGCGTGATCATCATCATACCGTTCCACGCCATTGTACGCCCACAGCCACACCCACTTTGGCGATTTTTCCAGCCCTCTGGGCAGGCATATGTACACATCAACTTCATGGAAGAAAATCCGTGAGATAATTGATTGGCTGAGGCTATACACGGCTCGCACGGTCTGTGTCCAAATGGTGGCACAGGGTGGCTACTGTGTCCCATCAACAACTCACGGAGGAAAGAGCGGCCGCATTTTCGGTACCACTTGAAAGTTCCTAGGTACGTATCATCAGTTGTTTTTCTTCTCGAGCTGTTGGTCTTATGGATGGATCTCGGCTGCATTGGAGATCAGAACGGCGAAATGAAAAGATAGAAAGACAGCCGAGTGACGACGAAATGAGCGAAGTCTCGCCCGGAATGGTACCAAAGGCGGCAAATTGTCTCATCGGTAGCATGGTCTCACATGGATTCCCACGGAAAGGTTGGGGGTTCTGGGGTGACATGATGTGATACTGTAGTGTAGAAGAAGAAGAAGAGCAAGGGAAAAGGACAGCGATGGTGACTGTAAGCTCTGCAGATCCTGATCGACGGCACCATCGAGGTACAAGCGGGCGCATCGAGGGACCATCGAGTGCCATCGACGGCGGACACTTGGGATTGGCTAACGGCACACCACTCAATTAATTATCTTTTTGTCGAACTCGAAAGTGACCGACACAAATGCGTGTAGGGTCTTCGGGGTTGGAAAATCTCCCTCGAGTCACAAACGGAATAAGGGTCCTCAGTGATCAGCAGGGTAGTTTCCTCTGTTGGTCTGTTGGGTTCGCTTTCGTGTGTTGCAGTGTGCGGCTCCAAAACACTCCCAATGTGCTACCAACCACCGAGGCCGAAGCCGCCCAAAGACACGATTTCTTTATTGTCAAAAGCTATGCTTGGCTGGGCATCATAGTTGTGTTTCCACAAGTGTATCGTGAACCCTCTTGGCTTTTTAAAGCAAGAAGCTGCTGAGGAATGTCGTGCCAGGGAGGCAAACTTATGGTTCTATATTATCGACAAGGCCGAAAAGGTTGCCTCGGAAAGGGTGCCTCGTCAGACTCGTGTGAGCACGTGTGTACTATGTGACTCCTTGGTGAAAAGGACGGAAAGGGTTGCCAGAGAAGATAGATGCCCGGAGCTCCGGGAACTTCATGATATTATGTCATGGGCCGTTACGAGTTGCGCGCATTAGGTTAAGTTTGGCTTTGGTCTTGGAAGTAGGGTTTGGGAATCTTGGCGAGTTCAGGTTGGCACTCAGTAAGCCATTCATGCCTACGCCGACCCGTTTTTGCGTCTTTTCGAGTACGAGGGCAGAAGGGCACATGGGTTCGTGGATAGAGATTATGTCGAGTGTGATTGACATGACTAAGTGTATTTGTAAAAGATAGATGGGATGAGGGGTAGCGAGCGAGGTGAAGTTGATCTCAAAAGACATCGTGGGATCGGCGTCGGTCAAAAGTGGAAGTCGGGCCCGGGCATATTCTCCGGAACTGCATCGCCGATGGCCGTTCGCTGCGGGCGGAGATCACTGTCTTTATAGTGTACTACAAAGTACCTCTAGCTATTAGGTGTTAGTGTCGAGTAACGAACATCCATACGCGGCCTTCCAAGACATCTGGAACAGCTACCTATCACCCGCTAAGAATTGCAATATCCAAACGCATTTTGATGCCTCAAACCGTCTCTTCATCACCAGACTTTGTTCGTTCATTTGGAGCACATGTTCTTGCGATATCATACCTAGGTAACTGCTATCCCGTGAGCGATGGCAGAAGGTGACGTCACGCTGCAAACCATCACGACTATTGTCTTGGCAATAATGGCTGAAAGGGTCTGGACCAGTCGAGGCCGGGCACAGCTGCTGCCAGTTGAGCACCTGGGACACGCTGTAAACCGCAGAGCCGTTACCGTGATTTTGGCAGCTCCGGGAAAGTTACAGGGACCATCGCAGCGGGCGCAACTGCCCTGCTGTTTTGAATGGTGCTTCCACTTGGCTATTTTCCAACAATGGACGTTTCCGAGTTCCAGCTGATCTCTTGATCTTCGGCATTTTCCTGACGTTTATTGATGTCCCCGTGGTCGCGCTTATTGTAAACACTGACGAAACTAAACACATCTGATATGACGCCGAGGTCGTTCGTGTACCCTTTTTGCTTATCAGTCTCTAGTGTCAGTGTCATGATCCTCACGACTCCTCAATGACAAGAGAAATGAGGGGACATCATCGAGATCAGACGGCAGGTAGTTTGGAAAGGAGATAGGAGTGACCCGGATTCGGGAGAAAGCTGCACTTGTCACCAGTTGCGTCCGGGTTGCCACACATCAGCCAGCATTACACCTTACCCTACCTCCGGCATTGCACTAACAATTGGGATATCCGACTTTGTTACCTTTATGCTCCGACATATACGTCTAACCCGCGTTATCAGTCTATAGCCGAGGCCACGCTGGATAGCTGTTACTGCAACAATAGTACTCAGCATAACATAACTTCAACTTATACTGCCCGTCATCGCATGGGGAGGCATGGCATACGGCTGGAAAGCTGCTAAAAGCAGGACCCCGTCTGTAGAACATGAGAGACACAAACCTCATGCATCAACCGAATGAGCTCTCCAATGTTATTGATGACAGACGAAAAGACTTGGTAATACCGGGACAGTGGCCTGAGTCTCACCACCATCGCGGGCTCCCGCTGAATCTCGAACCTGCTAGATACGAGCTTTCAACACCACGGCCAAACTTTCGATACGGGCATACCGACCTAGTCACCAGGTTTATGCAAAACCGTTGAAACTTGTGGGAATGTTCGTGGAGCATGTTAATGACATGTTAAGGGTTCAAGCTCCTCCGCTCACCATGTGCAATAGGGTTTCCGTGTGGAACCATGGTCGCATGTCAGGGCGTGCGTGTCGTTCTCAGCTCAGGGTACTCTTTTCCGCTCGCACACACACACTTTGAAGGTATTTTGGAATCTCCTGACGAGTTTGTTGGGTTGCCGCGACTTCCCGTGTTGACCTTTTTGGTTTCCGAGGGGGCGTCCATATGAGCGAAAGCCTTCGTGCCCTCACCCCCTAAGGTTCCAGAGTTGTCCGTAGCGACCAGTAACGTGCCGGAAGAAAGTTGCTGTTGCCGCCGGAACGCCGATGACACAGCAAAAGTGAGATCTGGAGGCTCAAGATACTTTGGGTCGACGACCCACCACCGCGCCCACCTCTGCCACCGTTGTGGACGAATTTAGCGTACCCCTGCGAGCTATGACGTTAGATGTGGGACATCTGTCAATAGTCCCACCCCGCGTGGCGTTAAGGGGCTCAACCCGGTGGAGCTGCACACAATCCTGAGCGCGGCCTGTGATCCTGATAACCGGGAGGAAGGGTGGGAATGGAGGCACTTTCTGGCCAGCAGTTGCCCTCGGAGTTCGCTCCCTCCCATTTTGCTGGATTGGCACCCAAAAATTTACGAGTCAGGCGTAAGGACCCTATTGATCGGGTAGATAGGGGTAGCCAGCCATCGCACGGTCATTGATGGGTTCGGATTCCAGGGGGGCTTGAGGAACAAATTTTGGAAATTTCTCCGTGGCATCTGGATGGCGGCTTTTGCCCAAATTTTGAAACGAACCATGCGAAAAATGAGGGGATTCCTGGTTGAGGTTCTCACCGAGTTGCGGCGGCGGGGTTGGAAAAGTTGGATGTGAGCTCCCAAGTCAGCGCGGAATATGTTGTGAGTGAGAGCAAGTTGCCAAAAGGGCTCAGAAGGAAGGGGCGAGTGAGCCGGTGGCGTGTGACTTTGGTCTCAATGCTTCCCGTATAAGAGATACTGATTGGAAGATGTGTTCGTGGTGTGGGGATGAGGACTTTCCGTATCGGCCACCCGGCCGACGCCCGACCTTTTCAAGAAGCAAACTGGTCGCTGGTGTGCGTGGTGGGTTAAGAGGGAATCAAATTTTATCGAGCCGGGCGGGGTGAACAGAGTGAGCAGAGGTGTCCCTGCCTCTAACAAAGAACACCTGAGCTCTCTCCACCCGGCGCCGACAGTGTCGGCCCTGTACGCTGGATTTGGGGGCAGAAAAATGAGAGAAAAATCAGTCAATTGAAGAGATGAGGAGCAAGAGCTGCTGGCCGTGTCCCTGGACAGCTTCATCGTGAGGGTTTTCGGGGCGGCGCGAGTGAGGGTCAAGTTGGTCCGGCTGGGGGAGGGCGGCGGGCCTACAAGTACCTCTTGTTTCTCTCGTGAGCGGGCAAGACTCGACCAATCAGAACGCGGTCGCGAGGACCCTGAACTTTTCGATCCCCTCGATCCCCTGGAGCCTGGGCGAAGGTGAGGATCGGGGCAAGTCCTGTGCATCTCTTGGAAAGTGTGAGCAACGCACGACGCAACGAACAGCGACTCAACGCTGGACTCCCGTCCATCTGCGGCCGGGCTCCTATTCACAACTAATGTAAGTATGTGCTGCGGTCCCAGTCAACCAGTCCGGTCCCCCTCCAGTCTACAACTAAGTAAGCCGTCCCCATCCCAAGGCCCCAAAGATCGGATTCCCCTACTGTATCTACCTCTACATTGCAAAAACGGCATTGGATGATTGATTAAGGTACACACACCCGCACACCTCCTCTCATACATACACCACCCTCACCTTACCGCTCGCCAAACACTGGAAACCGACCCGAATTCGATATCGATTGCCTCGGGCTTCAACCCAACAGTCACAGTCTCAGTGAGTGGTGTGTACTTTGTCAGTACCTGTCTTTCACAGGTCCCGGTCCCCTTCCCCCCAATTCTATTCATCCACCCCGGAGGACCCAGAACGTAGCAGTGTGGCAGATTGACAGGCCCCCAACATTGGCCTGTTAAGGTCCCTGTAGCCCACGCCAAAAAGAGTCCCAAAACTTGGCTTTGTTGTCTTTCCCAGTTTATCCTGCGATAACTGCAAATCCGAACGAAACCGTCTTTGCTGCATCGCATCCACTTCCCACACCACAGAATCCCTCGCTGCAGAAAAAGTGGCAGTTGTTCCAAATCTTCCATTGTCGAGCAGCCGGCCCTGACCTTCAAAAGGAAACTCCAGGGGACCGCCGATCTTTCCTGAATACTGGCACTAGCCATTGCGACTCGTTGCGACCACACCAACACTACCATCGATTCGAACGACCCTTCTTTTCTGTTTACCTCCCAACACTCCAACTCGACCATTGTACCAAACAAAAGCTCAAAACTTCAACAGGTAAATGCGAATCATCATCTTGTCCAGCGCATTGCCCAGTTCGTCGCTTTCTCTTTCTTCCCTATGCCATCTTTGAGAAGCTCCCCCTTTTCTGAAACGGAACCCCTTCCGAACCTGCCAAACCTACTACCCACGGCAGCTTACCTGCTTGTTGCTTGACTTGCCCGGACCACCTCACCGGCCTTCATGTCCGTCTCCGCGAGCTTCCGACTCGGCCCTCTCCTTAGTTTTTCAACACCACCCACTCCTCCCCGCCGCCCCCTGTTCCTGTGTCAACTTCCCATACCCAACAACACATCTCGCCGAGTTGGCGCAAGACCGCACGCCGTTTGATCGTATACCTCAAAGAGTTCGGCCAAGGGCTTTCGTTCCGCCACCCTGCCGTCCTCCGCTCTCTCCCGCCCAATGTTTGTTGATTCTGGGACTCTAATCTTGATTGATCCCCGTTCTAGCGTCCTTCACCATGGCGCGACTATCCCGTCGCCGGGAAGTGCTCTCGACAAATTCGGGGCGCTTCTTTGCTGCCAACCTCTAACCTCATTGATGCTTTGACGGAGAAAATTTTGCACTCCTTGATGCTCAGTTCTCTAACTTGGCTTGCTCGCTCTTTAGACACTCGAGACCAACCCCCCTCTGCCTGCCTGCGTGCCTGCCTGTCTGCCGGTCTGCGGCTTCCATAGTCACAGGCTTTGGGCCGGCCGCCCAGCCCAAGTGTCGTAAGGACACGCACACAGCCGTATCATGAGAAGTCCCCACAAGCTGCTCGAACGTGAGTAGCATCGCCGTCGCTTGACGCAGCCTGATAGGGTGAACATGGCGGACGGTGGGGATAAATCACAGGGCATGCGCCCGCCATCCTTTGACAGCCGTGGTCACCCCCTACCCCGACGTGCTTCCCCAGACAAGTCAATAACACTTCATAATCACCGCCTTGCGCGAGATGCCAGCAGCAGACTTACTTCATCTTCCGCACTGGGAGTGACCGGACCCCAAACCCAACCCCAAACCCAACCCACAAGCTCGCCCACTCGAAGGAATTCGTCTGGAGAAAGCAACGATACCGGGCACAGTGACCCCAAGAATTGGTTTGACCAATCCAACCGTAATCCTGTTGCCGCCTTCAATGACGAGAGCAACAACATGGAAGTCGATCCTCCTTTTTATCAGAAGGAGACTGACTCCTCCAACGAGGATTCCAGGTATCCGCCTGGACGAAACCCATCATATCCCCCCCGTGATACCCAGATGCAAGGATTACGCGCCGCTGTTGCGCACAGCAGCAGCGCCGATGACTTCCGCAGCGTCATCGACGACTTGACTGTCGAAAACAAGCGACTGAAGGAGGAACTGAAGAGGTATAAGCAGTTTGGCTCCGACATGATGAGGAAGGAGAAGTTGTTTGAGATCAAGGTACATGGTTTACCTAGACGGAAGAAACGCGAATTGGAGGCAACGCTTCGGGAGTTTGCTGCTAGTCTCGGCGGCTCGAGCGAATCGACATCGCAGCGGAGGAAGGGTGGGAGACATGGAAAGGCTGTTCACTCGTCCGGGGTATCGTTGTCCAAGCACGACTCGTCGTCGTCGTCGCGGAGTCGTCCTGTCGATTCTGCGTACGCCTCCATGTCGACAGGTCCTAGCTCGCATGCGGCTCACTCCTCTGGTCCGTCGCTCGGACGACCTTCGCTAGTCTAGGGCAAAGTCGACGTCGTCCCAAAAGGTAGAAAGCTACCTGCGCGACACGCCCGATGGCCTGCTTCCTCGTCATGTTGTGATGACTGACAAGGAGAAGAAGAAGTTGGTCGTCCGACGACTTAGAGCAGCTGTTCACCGGAAAGATTAGCGGACAAAACATGCAGCGCATCCCGTCCATACCGAGTATGGATGCAGCACTCGTGTCGGAAGGAACCATCATGGCACCGCCCGCCCCCCCCCAGAAGGATTGCGCGAAGCTCGCATTCAACTACAGGAGGGTGAAAATCCAGAGAAAATCCGTTCCTCCAAGGGCACTACCTCTGCATCCAACTCAGGTGGTGACCAAACCGAACTCGGCGGAACTGTGACGGCAGGCGGAGATGGAAGTGGAAGCGGCGGTCGAACTGTCAACAACACCTCGCCCCCGGGAGTCATTGCACCGGACCAACGACCAACCAGGCCCCGCGATCTGGACCCCGACCGAGTACAAATACCCTCCGAAAATATGGACTACATCCGTCACCTAGGCTTGGTATCACCCGAATTCTTGCAGGGAAGCCGAACCAGCTATCAAGATGTCGCTCCGGATGCGGAAGGCTGGGTGTACCTCAATCTGCTTTGCAACCTCGCCCAGCTGCACATGATTAACGTGACACCGAGTTTCATTCGCCAGGCCGTCTCGGAAAAGAGCACGAAATTTCAGCTCTCTTCTGATGGCCGGAAAATCCGCTGGCGTGGTGGAACCGATGGAACCAAGTTCAGCAGCGACAGCAGTGAGGACAAGTCCCAGAAAAGCCCCCTGACGGACGATACCGAGGACGGCTCGGATAAGACTAGTCGGAGGAAGAAGCAGAAGACGCAGCCGACGCGTTCGGAGCTTGGGAGGCTCGGTCTCTCAAGGTCACCTTCGGACACCTTTCATTACAAACCGATGTTCGTACACCGCCATGCATCCTCGGCCGAGACGTCTTTGGAGGAGTCGGCCTCACAAGGCTCGGATGTCGTTGATGAGAGTAACCTAGCAAACTCGAAGTGGGACTTTAGCGGATCGGGGACAACGCAACAGCGGAGCAAGCGCCGATATGACGGTGCCATCGTTTACTACACCGGGGCTCAGTTCTGCACCGATCTTTCAGGAGAGCCCGGCGATATGTCGCCAACAGCGCAAATGACGGCCACCGGCCGCGAACAAGAAGCATCCGGATCTGGCGATGACGCTGGGCGTGTGCTGCAGCGGACGTTGTCTGGATCGTCGCTTCCCGTCAGGCCGCTCAGCGATGACCGTGCCCGCGTGGCCGAGGCATTGGATTTTGACCCCCAAAACCCACTCGATCTCGTTTCCGACGACGGCTTCTCGCCGAACGACGAAGATTTTGCCTTCCCTTGGTGTGAGGATCCTGCCAAGACTCAAGTTCAGCCTCTTGCCAAAGAAGTCATGGAGCCCTCCGGCCTTGGTGGAGTACTTCCTGATGACCATTTTGCTATTTTCGTCACCACCCGCCGCGTCATGAGACCTACCCTGCAACGACATCTGTCACGCTCGACAACATCGGAAGATACGGCCGAGATCATTGCCGAACGCCTGGCATCGATAAGAACGTCATCGCCTTTGCCGCCTCCTCGCAGTCGCAGTCTAGTTGTTGCGCCTTTGCAAATCGAATACGTCTCTAGAGAATTCCATCGGCTCAACCCAGCTTCACTCCCTCCGCCGGCGATGTTTTATCCCCCGTTCAGCACCGACTCCAGCTGGGACGACGGCGACGAGCTCGTTTCGGACGAGGAAGAAGTGGAGGAGATGGAGGAAGAGTCCTTCTCGGAAGGGCAGATATCGCACCGAGCAAACCCTCATTTTTCGGACAACAATACGTACATGCGGAAGGACGATTTGGCGTTCGATACCGAGACTGATGTGCGGATGGACAGCAGCGACGATCATCGGATGTCGTCGGACAGCGGCCTCGTGATGCGGTCGGTGATGCCGCGGCCGGCAGCGGTGGACGGAGATGGCAGCCCACTGGTGACTGTCACGGGAAGAGACGTGGATATGCTGCACACTGGCAGCTCGGTTGCAACCGCTGGTGGGGCGGAGAGCGGCTACAGCAGTTCGATGGAGGACGTCTCGTCCTCGTGAGACCTGAGAGGATTTACCTATATGTGAGAAGAAGACGAAGAGCACACGAAAGGAAGAAAAAGGAACGCATTGCGGCTGGTGTCTCAGGAAAACAGGTATACCGGTATTCTCAGATTTTTGGCTTTGGCTAGCAAGCGGGTTATCTCCAGCGCGCGGTTCTTTGCTTTTGCCATGTTTTGGCGGAGTTGCACTGTCGATTTTCGTCGGGGACTTGATACGTATGGATATGCGACGGGGGTGGTTTGCGGGCGAGGATCCTGGGTCCCATGAATGGGAGGGACCATGGTTAAGTGAAGGGGGTGGGTTGGGTTGGGTTGGAGACCTTTTTTTTTGTTTTTTTTGGAGAGTTTGGGTTAGTGTTGTTTGGATTTGGACCGTTGTTGGTATTTTTGTGGTTATTTTTTTTTCGCTTCCTCGTTGATGACTTTTTTGTGGAAAACAAACATACCTCTTTTCTAGATATGTATCAACGGTTTGCATCAGTGTCGGTAGAAGAAGGCCGGTGACATCAGTTGCAACGAGCGCACATGTGAAACCACAGTCGGACTTAGTGGCGGGCGTGATTGGATATGTATATGATTTGAAAATCAATCGTCAAGTTGTCCCCACGATGGCCTCGTTGCCGAAATGTTTTGATGATCGAGCGGTAGTCGTAGATCGTAAGGTCAGGCGTAGGACGTGCACCAGGACCCTCAGCGCATTTTCAGCAAGCCCCTGATTATCCAACGCTGGGCAGTTGCATACAGTATCAGTGTCGCTAGGTATCACCGTTCAACGGTAGGTTGATTGTTAGGTTGTGTCTTTGTATGAGGCCATTGCCAACTACCATACTACTCGTCAACATATGTAAATGTCTCGAAGTTTTGAAAAAAAGACAAACATAATATTAATGACTAGCCATGACACTCCGGATTCCATGCCATCCCAATCCCGTGAAACATATATGCTTGATCAAACTTGACATCAGGTCTCACACTAACAAAATTTCCTGGAGGTTGTATTGTTACTGTACGCATGTCACACTATGCGTGTCCCACTTTATGAAAGCGATCGGATTCGACTCAGCAGCTCCTGGCTGCAGGCGGGGGAGGAGCGAACGAGCTCCAAGTGGAAGCGGCCAGCGAGGTGCGGGCAGGCGGTGCAGGCAAGCTTCTTGGGGTCCATCCATGACCATATCAGCAACCCATTGGATTGTGGATTACGATTAGGGACCCTCCACCTTACCTACCGCTACGTAAACAACCTACGAGCTCGCGAACCACTGCCCGTCGCAAGCTTCCCCCTTGATCTGGTTTTTCCCCTTTCAAACCTGGAACCGACATGTGAGCTTTCCATAACTCGAAATGGCAACCAAAGGAAAAGAAGTAGAAACCGCTGCGGGTCGGTAAGTCCAAGTTTCGAGCTATACCTCTACCTCTACCTCTACCCTATACCTTGGCATCTTGCAAGAGCTTCAGCTTAAGTTGGGCGTGTTATGCTACCCCTCCATGGTATCAAGAGACAAGACAAACAAAATATCTTGACCTCGTGACCTGAACGACGCATCCCATGTTGTCGATACCCTCAACTTCGACAAGAACCAGAAACATCATGGCTCGAAACATTGCCAGCTAGCCTAGCCTCCATCACCTACAGAAGCACCCAAACAAAAGAAACAAAAGAAAAACAAAAGGCTAACCTACTGTTGCGCCCAACCTTACAGCAGCGATGCCGCCACGCCCGCGAACCCCCGAGGCATCCCCCAAGCACCCTTTGTCGACAAGGTCGAAGACTATGTCACGTCGCGCGCGGACGTCGAGCCCACCCTGCGGCGGTTCCAGGAGCTGATCGCCAAGTATCAGTTCATGGAGCAGAACCTCCAGCGACGAGTGGTGGGCCTGAAAGACAAGATGCCGGATATTCAGAAGACGTTGGATACGGTGCGGTTTTTGCAGCTGAGAAAGGTACGCATAAGCATACGATACATTACGAGGCACACCTCTCTGGCTCTGGGAAAGGAGGGGATATGGGATGTAGCGGTGGCTATACGGTGATGGGCGGATTACGCAAATGCGCCTGGGGCGGGGAAGAAGATGGAAGACCGAAGGCAAAAGACGAGGATGGATACCGAACGACGTGGACGGATGGATGGATGCGTGGACAAACAGCTACGGACACACGAACGAGACGCTGACAAGATACCCCTTGGGCAACAGGACGAAGAAGATCCGATTGAAACCACATTCGAGCTCAACGAGACTCTCCACGCCAAAGCCAAGATCCCGCCCACGGACGAGGTATACATCTGGCTCGGCGCCAACGTCATGCTGTCGTATCCCATCGAGGAGGCCGAGCAGCTGTTGGACTCGAAGCTCAAGGCCGCGACGCAGAGCTTGCAGAACTGCGAGGAGGATTTGGATTTCTTGAGGGAGCAGATTACGGTACGTTTTTACAAAAGGACACAGGAACGGACAGACAGACAGACAGTGGCGCAGGAGCAACTACAGCAAGCTGGAAGGGAAGGGGGAGAAGCAGAGACGAAATGAGGTTGTTCTGTTACCAAAACGTGGGAATATTTGCTAACTTGAACGATGTGCGCCGCCAACAGACAATGGAAGTCGCCGTAGCGAGAGTGTACAACTGGGACGTGGTGCAGAAGAGGAAAGAGAAGGAGGAAGAGGAGAAGACAAAAGGAAAGAAGAGCGAGACGGCAGAAGACGGTTGAAAAGAGAGGAGGAGCATTAGGTTTAATACAGCACAGAAGAAGAAGAAAGCGAGAGGATATAATGCACTCATCACAAATTACCTTGGAAACGAACGAACAAACGAACGAACGAACGAACGAAACAACGGTTGAAGAAGAACAATTGTCCGGAATACCGAGGACCGCTGGCCGCTGGCCGCGATCATTCGAAGCGAGGTTCACGACAATGGCTCGGTAAGTTGGATTCTGGTTTAAGAACAACGGCTTAACAAACGGACGGCACTTCACAGATATTCTCGGCCGTCGTATTGCGCTCAGTAGCAACATTTTGTTCACGAAGAACAAGAAACAAGGACCACGCAAGCGTTTATCATATTGAAGAGCCGAAGTGGGACTGGCGAGATGAGGTTCGCTTTGGACTGGGTCAAGGCTACGACATCGAGAGATTAAAAGAGTATTTAAGTTCTGAGGCCTCCAAAACTGCAGCCCCATAATCATCGCCATCAAGGCACGATGACTACGGATATTTCCAGTCTGGGGTTTTGATGTGGAAGTTACCGTCTAGCCGTCTATACTTACACATGTGATCGCTGCTATGTCTCGGTATAATTGTCATAATACCTACATACATCAAGACAGCCTTACAATGTTAAAAGCCAATCCGAGGTCATCACGTAGCTATCCAAGGGGGCGAGCTTGTCTGTGGTGAGCTGTAGTTACGGATCGTCGTCATTGATCATTCGTATCGAGTTCCCCAAGAAGTCTCATCCAATTCAGACAATCAGATGGGGCCAATGCGCGTGTAGCAGAGAATAGGGCGCTCGGGCACCCCTTGACCTGTCATTGTTCTAACTGTTTTGTTTCGCTGTCAGTTTCTTGCGAAACTGCTTGGTGCAGATGACTCTGAGCACGACACCCCCTGAAAACTCAAACCCCTTTTTGGGGGTGACGAGGCATTGGGCTTTGAATCTTGACCGCCATGACGACGGGATGCGTTCTTGGAGAAGGGCCCGCGAGTCTTTGAGTCTGAGACGGCGGCAGGCGAGCGGTAGACCGGGCCCGTTAACTCGAATACTGGATGCACGCCAACTGTAGACAACAGTGGATGGGGCCCCCAACCGCCCCGTGCCAACGTCCCTCCAAGCGGCCCAGGGGCAGTCGGATCTCAGGGGCCCCGGCACCTCTGCAACAGAACCCCAATTAAACGATCTCCATCACGGGCTCGGCCTCCTTCCCCTTGCCTGCCTTGAACTAGACTGTGGACTGTACCCTTTCCCCTTTGGACCAACCCTTTTTGCCACGACTGCGTTACCCGTCCCTACCTCTACTCCTCTGACGCTACTCTATACTTTCCAAGATTGTTGCACATCATTTGTCGTCCTCTACAACATTCATCGTCTCCCACCTCAGCTTCCTTAATACTCCAACCTCAACCCACCCCGCTTTATCCCCAAAACCTACCTTACCTCTACAACCACCACAACCGCCAACATGGAGCTCGATCCCAAGTACGACGACTATGACTACCCTACCACCGCGCCCGTCGCCATGGAGGGCCACCCCGGCCACTTGACTCCCCAGCAGCAGGCTCAGGTCAGCCAGCTTCGTCTGATGCTCGAGTCCGAGGGCTACACCAAGCGCCTCGACACCCTTACGCTGGTATGCATTCTGGCCCCTTGGTTCCGGCGGGAGAGACGGAGAACGGGAAAGAAGGGATATGGCGATAGACAGGACAGGCGCTGACAACTCTTCCGCGATATAGCTGCGTTTCCTCCGTGCCCGCAAGTTCGATGTCAACCTCGCCAAGCAAATGTAAGCGCGCGAAAGAAATCTGCCCCGTACCGTACCGCCCGAATTCGAACAACAAATCGCTGACCACATCCAAACTCCCAGGTTCGTCGAGTGCGAGAAGTGGAGGGTAGAGACCAAGCTTGACGAGACCGTCCCTGAGTGGGAGTACCCCGAAAAGGAGGAGGTCTCCAAGTACTATCCCCAATACTACCACAAGACCGATAAGGTACGGCTATCTACCGGTTCTCCCCGGGTGGTGTTGCTTTTAGGGGCACCAGCTACGTCAGATGAGAGAGAGAAAAAAGCGAGGCTAATATGACGTTTCTCCCTACTAGGATGGCCGCCCCGTCTACATCGAGCAGCTTGGCAAGATCGACTTGACTGCCATGTACAAGATCACAACAGCCGAGCGCATGCTTACCAACCTGGCCGTCGAGTACGAGCGTCTGGCCGACCCTCGCCTGCCCGCCTGCTCGCGCAAGGCCGGCGTCCTCCTCGAGACGTGCTGCACCATCATGGACCTCAAGGGCGTCGGTCTCACCAAGGCCCCCCAGGTCTTCGGCTACGTCAAGCAGGCGTCGACCCTCTCGCAGAACTACTACCCCGAGCGTCTCGGCAAGCTCTACCTCATCAACGCGCCCTGGGGCTTCAGCACCGTCTGGAACGTCATCAAGGCCTGGCTCGACCCCGTCACCGTCTCCAAGATCCACGTCCTCGGCGGCGGCTACACCAAGGAGCTCCTCGCGCAGGTGCCTGCCGAGAACCTCCCCAAGGAGTTCGGCGGTAGCTGCCAGTGCGCCGGCGGCTGCCACATGAGCGATATGGGCCCCTGGCGCGAGGAGCAGTGGGCTCGTCCCCCCAAGTGGGAGAAGAAGGCCAACTCCGATGCTCCTGCCGTTGCTGCTGCCCCCGCCGCTGCCCCTGCGACTACCGAGGCTGCTGCTGCTGCCCCTGCCGCCGCCGAGTCTGCCGTCGTTGCTACTGAGGCTGCCGCCCCTGCTCCCGCTGCCGCATAAGAGGTGCAAAGTGGAGGAGGTTTGACGGCTTCCAGTTGTTGTTGTGAGAAAAACGGTTCGAAGGGCTGTAAAGCGTCACCGAGTAGTCCCCCCAAGAGATCATGGCGTCATTTTTTTCGCCCGTGAGGGGTGAGGGCTATAACGCGGTTCGCTTGAACATGAAATATCATGGGTCTACTCACTATATACGCTATATGAAAGAGTATTCAGTTGTAATGGACAGTCATCATCATTCGGGCCGGACTCAGCGATATTTAGCGGTAGGCCCCGATGGGAAAGGAGTTGGTTGTGTTGTTTGTGCAGGGTATTCACACAAGTGCGCGAAAGATCGGGAAAAACGTGAATTTTCCGGTTTGAAACATAGCACTTCTGGTGGTGATTTTATTAGTGTATATGTAGAGTCCTTGCGTCTTTTGTTCCAAGGTGGTGGTCTCTTTGGTATATACACACGGATATACAATAGATTACTTGTTTCTGGCCGTCCATGATGCGGTTGCCTGGGATCCGAAAGGATGGAACAGAGTATTTATGACATATTATAAGACGAGTCACTGCATATCGGGAGTTCTCTCTTCAAAAATAAACATATGGTCATTTTGGATTCTACCATAGCCTTCCATATCCGTAACCATTGCCGTACGCCCCGAACTCCAATAGCTAACCGCTCAGACCTTGACTCGCAAAAAAGCAAACAACGCTTTCCGAACCAACATCTTCAGCATGCCGTTCCAACAAAGCCAACACTTCCTTTCCGCAGCACCAACGAGTACCGCCAACAACCAACAGCACTAACACCAAGCAACATCCCTACCTCCCCTCCCCAGGCGCAGCACCACTAACACCAGCAACCACATACCCCCCCGCAACCCTCGCCCTCTCCATCCTCGCCACCGTAGCCGGCATCTGACTCTTCAACCTCCTCAATGCTTCCACAGCCTTCCCAAACCCGTCTTCTATCCCTTCCTGCCTTTCCATCTTATTGTTACCCCCATCATCTTGACCCAGCCCCCCACCATTCTCCTCTGACGCAAAGGGTAAAAGCCCCTCCAAAGCCTTCCGCCCCGCCCACACCCCCTCCTCAACAACCCTTTGCTTCGCCTTCTCCAGCGCTTCCTTGTCTACCGCCTGTTGGTGTAAAAAGGAAGAGGCAAAGGAGGTAGCCACCGAGGAAGGGACGCGACGCTTTAGGAGGGCGATGGAGCGCAGGAGATCTTCTTCTTCGCGGGCGAGGGATTCAAGACGGGAACGTTTGCGGGGGTCGAAGGGTTCGTATTCTTCTTGGGGTTTGGATTTTTTCGTGGTCTTTTTCTGGACTTTTGAGGCTTTGGATCTGGATTTGGAGTTTTTGTTGGTTGCGGTGCGGGAAGTGCCGTTGGTTTTGGTTGTGGTTGAGGGGGAGCTAAAGGGTGATGATGTGGTAAGGAATTCGGAGGGGTCGTTCACGGGCAGCCCGTTGATTGATATGTTGGGCGCTACTAGGGTGAAGGTTCTTGTTATGTACTGTATTCCAGTCAAGTTTGTTGTCAGTACACTAGACAGAGACAGCTAGAAGGGAGGAGGGAACGGAAAACGGGAAAATAAGGCCAAAAATAAATAAACATACATCATTAACCAACCCCTCTATCCTGACTCTCAACTCATCCTCCTCCTCCTCTTCGTCTTCTCCATTCCTATCCCCGGGATCGACAGGCGGAAACGCGGCATTGATGCTATCGGCTGCAGCGCGCCGCACGTTGTCGATCAGGTAGGTGAAGTCTTCGAGCGATTGAAGCTCGATTCGTCGGTGGACGGCGGATTCCATCTCCATTTTGTGCGCGAGCGCAGCGCGCCAAGCGAGTAGTAAAAACGAGCGGCCGGGACTCGAGCGGTGATGTAGCTGACGGGTTGGTGATGATGCGTCGCGAACTCGTGGGACTACTATTTATTTTCGGTAGTAGTGTATGTTTTGTTGTCGCGTTTTCCGTAGATCGTGGATTTCGATTGTCAATCTCGGCGACTATGTCTGGTTGTGGTGGTGGCGAGCTGCTAAAGTGTCGTTCTTGATTTTGGTTGATTTGTTTACTTTCGAGTCTCGACAATTGACAGTCCAAAGTTCCATGCAACCCACCCCAAGTCCCCAACCCACACTGCACCTCAAGCTGTCCGCGCCCGCGCCCAGCACATAGAACCGCGCCCGCAACCCGCTTCCGCTCGGGCCCGCTTCCACTTCCACTTCCACTTCCACTTCCCGCTGGCGCTCCTTTCCCCCTCGTCCCCATGATCTTATCGATAACGGAAGCCGCTTGGCAAATGTGGGCCCCGTGACATCGGTGTGCACTAGCCCGAAATGGTGTTCGCTTTGGAGAACAGACCCACTTGAGACCAAACGCTTGGTGGGGCCGTCTCTGATGCCAGAATGGCGGGGCTTTGGCTTGGCCCGCCTGGGGCTGGTGTAAGAGAGTCGCAGCCCGCAGGCGTGCCCGGCATTCAATGATCGCTGTTGCGTTGGACGTCGGTTCCCTTTTGGCCAAGGTGCCGTTGTGAGCGCCGCCAGCAAGCACTTTCGAAACATTGACCTGGAATGGATGAGGTACTTTATGCAACGGGACTGCACACTTATGGACAATCTTTGGCCGACTTGCCTGACTGAAGTGGTTGCTGCCTTGTGCCTACATTCTGCGCAGATGCGAGACCTCTATACGGTTCCTACATCTGTTCATCTTAAGAAGACTGTTCTGCGTGGACCCTGCAGATTCTACAAATGTATCTGAACAAGACCTCTTGCCAATATTTGTACACTATTGGAAACATTTCTGTCTTCAACACTGATGACCCCAGCTATCCGACACCTCTCCAGGAATTTTAAGAATATAAGTATCATGGCCATGTGTAACAGAACAACATCGAAGGCATTCTATGCAAGTATTCGAAAGGCTTCAGAAACAGACACTTTTGTACACCCAGGCTTCCAGCACCACCATCGAGCATACAATGCCGCCTTCTTCCTCATCTCGTCCAAATGCTGTTCACCATTCAAGATGTAGGTTGCCGAGTAGTGGCCTATCTGCAAAGTAAAATGATATTTGAGGGGTGATACCCTATAAAGAATAAGAGTCAAAGTATTGCCCAAAGACTCCGATGGATGAAGAGAGGTCTGAAGGTAGTGCTCGACATAGATGATTGAACCCAGTGATACGCCCGAAACCCGAACCCGAATACCAGACTTGAGAGATAGAACCCATGATGAATTATTCCCTCCCCCCGGCCGCCGCGCTTCCCAACCCAATTTGACAAAACATGACCACGAACCATACCCTTCCCACATTCGGTAACACCGTACCCGAAGTGTGTATCCCGAACCGACCACGCCGGAGCCATGATCTTCTGAAGGGTCCGTCTTTGGATATATCCTCGCCAGTGATGTCCACGGTTCCAATGAACTCTCGAGGGGGCAAAGAATCGTCAGGTAGGCGCCAAAACACCTAGAACCGAAATACATGGAAGAAAACATGCCATAAACGCCGTAATCCGTGTGAAAATTGAAAGCCGATATCTCGTGAGAAGAGACTGGTCTAAGAGTGGCGCTTGTAGCTCGATGACTGAATATAATGTGTTTGATGATGGTCGCTTGTTGCGGGCCGTCGTGTGTGCCGTCGTGTGCCGTCGTGCCCTTTGTGGACTTTACTGCGGCAGGATCTTCTTGATTTCTTCGTCCGTTAGGATGATCTCATGGATCGGATCTCTCCGGTTCTCGAGCGGGACGTAGTCGTAGTCAACGTAAGATGGTAGGAAGATCTCGGGGTTCCATGCGAAACCTTGGCTCGAGGAGAGGTAGGAGATCTGTTATTGGGAATATGGTTAGCTATTTGTTTACTTGGGCAAGGCAATAATATCATTCAAGTGGCCAAGACAGGAAGGTAACGTACCAACTCTGGCGGCCCATCCCTATCTTCGGCGATATTGATCGTGGTGCATTCCTGCTTGGAGATGGCCGGACCTAGAAGCTAGTGTTAGTAACGTTTGTGATGCATATGCACAACCGCGCAAGCCGATGCCGCCATGTTTTCAGTGCATGGTGTTTCCGGGAAATAAATAGACTTACTCAAAAGGCTAGGACGACGAGCATGCAGCAGTGTCTTTTTTGTAGTCGACGACGTGGGTGACGAAGAAGGGTGCGATGGTTCGGGCGAGGTGGAATAAGACGACCCCGGTGACGAGCTCCCGCCAACGTTATCTGACTGGCCCAGCTGACGACGTTCGATATCCATGGCGGATGGTGGCGGTGCGGGAATGGG